GAGCCAACGGGCATGGTGACTTCTGACTGGCTACAGAGAAACTCTGTCCCTAACGTTTTTTCCATTTTGAGCTCTCTGCTTCTGACTTTGAAAACCTTAGAGGCAGAGATAACCCCATTCCCAAGGTTATTATGACTCCCAGATGCAGGAGTGATAATGATTTTTTCCCTGGGACAGGACCTCTGGGTCCTGAGATGGCCTAAAGGTCTCCCCCACTGCTCACTGGAGACTTGGAGAACCCAGAGAACCAGACCCCAAGATGTTATGGGGGTGGGAAACACAGGTCCCATGGCACACGTGCAGTACCACATCATCTATGCGCAGCTTGAGGCCCCAAGACCTGAAGTTTCCAGAACTGTGAGGAACTATGGGGCATCATACCCCAGACTGTGTGCCAGAACCTTCCCTAGCATCTGATGGCTTGCTTCCTACATCGTCACTGAATCAGAAGTCATGTCAACGGCAGCCTCACCCACCAACGTCCTCCTCAACGTTCTCTTGCTTAGCAGGGACAGCTGCCTGGGTTGAGACATGTGAAGTGTGCCACTGAAGCTTCCTTAACGCTTGTTAAGGACTGTGTACCGCTTTACCCCCGAAAAATACGCCCAACTCCTAAGCCCAGATCCTGTGGCTGTAACCTTTCGTGTAGGTGGGGCCTTTCGAGCGTCTTTCTAAGACCCCGCCATTCTGGTTGCCAAGATCCTGTTTCCCTAATAGCACCCCAGCTTTTCACTTTAGGAAATGGGCAAGGCTATGGCTTCGGCTGATATGGGCTGGTGACCTGCAGGGTCAAGCTGTGTGCAGCAACCCTCCTGTACCAGGAACCAAGCTTGCCTCTGCTCTGTGGCTGCCTCTCCTTCTAGGTCTGTCTATCACTATACCCAGCCCAACCGACATGACTACCCAGCTGGCCCTTGTTCAGCTGAGGTCAGGGAGGGGCTTTCAGGGAATAAACATGGCAACAGGGGAACAGTGACCCTTCGAATGGGGTGTGGGTGGAGGGAGTTACTTCCCAAGAGCACCAAGGGCCCAGAGGGTAACCCCAACCACACCTGCCTCATTCCCATCTGCTAGGACATTCTGCAGTATAAACCCCACTGCCACTGAGTACAAAAAGAGCTCCAGTGGTGCAGTGGTTAAAGCCTCCAGCTGCTAGCCAAAAGGTCAGCGGTTTGAACCCACCCGCTGCTCCACGGGAGAAAGATGCTTCTGTAAAGAATGACAGCCATAGAAACTCTATAGACTGTCCTATTCTACTGTCCTCTAGGGGTACTATGAGTTGGAGTCAACTCAGTGGCAGTGGGTTTGGCTTTGAGTTTTAGTCTGTATGACAGAATCTCTTATTTCCCATAAAACATGCAGACTTGAGTAACAGAAATATACTTGTCATTATTATCAAGTTTAAAGACAGTACTGGAACATATGGTTTTAATTTTAAAATGGAGTTTGAAATGTTGGAAGATTCCTTAAAACTAATTGTTGAAATATGCGACCTTTTTAAATATAGTAATGTTTACAATCAAGTGACAAAGACTGAGACGGCACTAAGTTTGGGAATCTCAACAACAACTAAAATCCTGAACAACCCCACAACAATCAAAATGGGAAAGAGACTGAGAACCATCTTATTTTGAACTTTATTTTCACTATTGACACTTTTACAGATAGAATGACCACAACTGTATTAACAAATCGAAAACATGTGCTCAGAAACAAAACGGAGAAACAGAGGAAGATGTCCACACACAGTCTTTGGATGGTGAAAACACAGGTGAGTTTCTCTCCTACATCTCTGCAGCTTCAAAGTTGCTCTAATGAACAAGTCCTGCGCTTACAATGGAAATGCATGTAACCAGGATGGGTGACCAAAATACTGGCATAAAGACCAGTTCAAGGAAATGAGACAAAATATTGAACTGTAATCCCACAACGACCACACAACTATTTTTTAAACTGTTTTTTCTATTTCTTCCCATCTTTGGCTGTCCTCTGCATACGTATATACTCACCCTCATGACCACTGACTGGTACACAGAAAAAAGATGACTCGATCAAGATGTTAACAGCAGCTGTTGTTGGGTGTTGGGAATATGAGTAATTTTTTTCTTCTACTTTACAGAATTTTCTGAAGTTTTCTTAGTATGTATTACACTTGTAATGGAAAAATACATACATAAAACTTTATTACCAAGACACCAAAGACCATTCAAGGAATTTGAGACAAAATATTGAACCCTAATCCCACGAGAATACCAGTTTGTTTTCCATGTTTGTTTTCATTTTCAACTCCAAGCGTACATATTTAACACTGTTATAATGGCAAGTGTGTGTACTCAGACAAGATGGCAACAGCAGTGGGGTGTTGCGGATACGGGCAATTTTTCTCATTTACTTTTTTTTCTCATTTTTTTTCTCTCTGGATACGTATTATGCTTGTAACAGAAACACTCATAATAAACTTTATCTGAACACTACAATACGGAACATTTGAACAAATTAAGATAAAAAGACTTAACCTTAATTCCACAAAGGTAGTGTAACAACTATTTTGACTATACATTTTGACACAGTGAGAACCATAAACCTGTGCAAAGAAACAAGAAAACCAAGGAACTGAACAGCATACCTATCGATGGACGGTGCAACATGGGCTGGTTTGTTTCCTCCATTTTTCTGTATTTTCCAAATGTGTGATAATGAGTTCAAATTATGTTCACAATGGCAACAGGACCTTTTAGTAACACTATACTGAAGAATACTGAAGGGATTTAAGAAAACAGTGCTCTACTGTAAGCCCACAAGACTACCACCACAGCTTGGACTATAAGCACACGCTGAACAGTGATAACTGTAGTATAAACGTGATTTTGTGTCCTGCATCTTCCACTTGGTGTTCTGTGACACGCTGCTGCCACGTAACCTCTCACGATCACCAACTGTAACAGCTGCTTCAAACTCCAGAGTGCACGTTCCAGAGGCACGACTCAATCTCTCCCTACCATCTGGCATCTAAGTTGGTCCTAACCTCTAACCAATGGACCCCTGCACATTTGGCAAGTTGGTTTTTGCAGGGTTTTATCGATGAACACTGTGGACCATTAATAAGCCCACCCAGCCCACACAACGGCGCGCACCCAGAGCCCTGCTGGGAGGGTCCCCTCTGCTACGGCACCTCTCTCTGCTTCATGTCCCCATGTCCGCGGTAGGACTGTTCCTACCCTTCCCACCAGTCCAGGAGGCTCGCTCAGCCCCTTCCCCCGAACCTGGCCTTTCCTTCCAGTCCCTGCTTGCCTCCCTCCTGGGTGTGGTGACCGACCAGGACCCCCTCTTTGGCTTATGCACTTCTGCTTCTGGCTCATGGCTCTGCCACCTCACTAGGCTGTGGCGTTTCCTGCAGTGCCACCGTGTTCTCCACAAGCCACAAGAGTGCACACCCAGCAGAAAGCGGATTTGAATTCTGTTTGCTCAAAACACCTGCTCTTCTCTTTTGCTCACTTAAATACAGATCCACTTTTTTTTTTAATGTTTTTTTATTTTACCTTTTTTTTTCCCAGCCTACTCAAGGCCTCAAAATTTCTTAATATAGTCATTGGGGAGGAGAGGGGAGTCAGGGGACGCAGATGGACCACAGACAAGGACAGGCAAAGCCTCCAGCTGTGAGACCAAACTGTGACGAAGTGAGAAACCAAACACAACACTCTGAGGGTGAGCGCAGAACCCCTCAGAAGGACCACAAGGGGAAGCAACAGACAGCTGGCAAAACAAATTAAGGCTGCGAGGCTGCTAGGAACCTGAGTCCACATTTAGCTTGGGCAAAGAAAGTCAAGAAAGGCAGATGCAGGGTTAGAGGATCAGATGATGAAGGAGGAAGTCCAATGACAGAAAGACCAAAGGATACCAGCCCCAAGGGCCCAGGGCGCAAGCAGATGGCGGCAGGCACATACTGACAATGCGGGGCGAAGGAGCCGCATCAGCAATGTCTCACTTAAGGCAGGAAGCACACAGGGAACAGGAGTCCCCTGCCTGCGTCCCTTTTCAAAACACGACCACCTCTGCCCAGGTGTCCAAGCTTCCGTAGGCGAGGCCGCAACCCACTGCTTAAAGACAAAGATGTAAGGTTCACCAGGCAACGCTTCAAAGTTTGGAAACTCAGTAATGAACACATTAGTGAGTTGCTTTGAAAAAAAGAGCAAGAAAGCAACTTTTTAGTATTTTGTATGAGTGCCACCATGAGGTCCAAGGTGGCAACTGACTGATTTAGATCATGAAAGGCCCGTCCGGGAATTGTCAAGGCTGGCGTGGTGTTAGTTTCCCGACCGGGAGCAGGCGACGGAAGTGGCTGCCGATGGAAGCTACGAGAGCTTCTCCTCCTGACCAGCCACGCGTGGGCCCCAGTTCCTCTCTCAGACCTACACCCACACGGGAATTCTCGAGTCAGAGCAGAACAGGCCCAACTGCCCCACAGGGATGCTGACGGGGTTCACGTCATCGACAACCCATCTCAGGATCCAAGGTCCTTACAAATCCCATCTCCCTGTCGCTCTCTCCCGGCCCCCACGTCGGGGAGTACTGAGCAAGAGGCCTCCACACCACAGGCCGTGACGGGTCTTCATGTGGAATCCCGACAGACGTGACGGCTGTCGTGCTGATCTGCTATATATACATCTACAGACACACATCGAGGTCACAGGAGTGTCACTGGCGGGCAAGTGGGACAAGTTCTGGAGCCTCAGAAGGGGGCTCCCCAGTGTGATTCCTCGGGTGACAGTGAGACGTGCGTTTCACCCTCCCCACGTGCACACACTGAGGACAGACGGGAGGGGTGAGGTGGGGGGAGTCTCGTCAGTTTCTCCTCAGTATGGGTTCCTTGAGGTTCAAGAAGGTGCAGACACAGCAAGGCAGTTTCCTACTGGCGCTGTCCTGGGTTTGTCGGAATCATATGCTGTTTACCAAAGGCCAAGTCCTAATGGAAGGTTTTCTGCATTTTACCTTGGATGTCCTCAGCCGTTGTGGGAATTCTGGTGTCGGGCCAGGGATAGGCGGTCGCTGAAGAGCTGCCCGCAGATGCCACATCTGAAGTACTTCTTGTTGGGCCTATTGCCGGCACTGGCGTGCTGGGTGTAACGCGAGCTCTCGCCATAGACGCGTCCTGGCTTATACATGATCACTCGGGCACGGCTCTTCAGATACTCCCTGCAGGCCGACTCTGAAATAAGGGTTTTGGCGCAGGCCTGGCAGTCGCAGTACGGTTCTTCGACCTGGATCTCCTGGTCTCTGCCCTCCTCTTCCAGGGCTTCGGTCTCCGTGTCGACAGGCTCCTCGGCGTCTCCCTCGGGCCCCTCGGCTCGCTCCTCTGGGTCTTCGGTCCCCGCACCGTCGGGCTCCTCGGCATCTCCACTGGGCCGTGTGGCCTCCCCACTGCACTCGGTGGCCTCTCTGTCGAGCCTCTCAGCCTCCCCACTGCACTCAGTGGCCTCTCTGTTGAGCCTCTCAGCCTCCCCGTTGGGCTCGGTGGCCTCCCCTTCGGGCTCGGCAGCTTCCACCCTGGACCCCTGAATCCGTAGCACTTCTTGGGGGATGACGACGTTAGCTTCGGCCTCCTGGGCTGCCTCTTCCAGGTGGAGCTGCTGGTGTTTCACTAGGATCGTACTATGAATGAAGGACTTCCCACAGTCCTTACACTCGTAGAAGGGTGAGTCTGGGTTGGGAAGCTCCGAACCGAATGAGGTATGGACAAACATGGCCCCGTAGTCAAAGGGCCTGTCTTTCTCATGGACCCTCATGTGATCCCTGAGGTCTGGGTGTCTGAGGAAGGACTCTCCACATGTCTCACATGCATAGCTCTTTTCTTCAGTTTGACTTCTCTGGAACTCGGTGAGAGTGAGGCCTGGGACAATCGTGTCCTCGCATACCTTGCCCCTGTCCAGCACATCCTCTCCAGTGTGAATCTTCATGTGCTCGTGAAGGACAGAGATGTGGATGAAATCCTGTCCACACACCTGGCACCGGAGGGTTTTCAAGCTGGACGGCCCCTTCCTTGAGGACCGCCGTCCCCTCTGCGTGGGAAGTGTCAGACGTCGCATCCAAGCCTCGTTGTCCTGCCTGCTGAAGAAGAACGGCTCCCTCTCGTGCAGCTTCTGGTGCTCAAAAAGGAACATGTCACTGACAAAAGACTGCCCGCATTGCAGGCACTCGTAGAGCTTGTCTCCAGAGCCACTTTGCTGAGAGTTACCAAAGGAACAGGTCTGGATCACCGAAGGCCCGCACACGCGGCTGTCTATGAGACACTCCCGGCCATGAACTTGCCGATGATCCCCAAGGTCGCTCCAGTTGGCAAAGCCCAGCCCACAGTCCTTGCACTCATAGATGGTGTCATCCACCTCGTTCTCCTGAGGTGCATCAAGGCCGACGCCCCGAATGACAGAGCTTCCGAAGGGCATCCTGCTGTGGACCCGCTCCCGGCCATAGATCTTTTGATGGCGGCTGAGGGCATCGCTGGTGGCGAAGCACTTCCCACACTGCCTGCACTCATGGCGCTCGCCCTCCTCAGCAGGGCTGGTCTGGGTGCCCACCAGGGCCAGGCTGCGGATGACTGACCTCTCGTAGGCCTTGCTTCCGGAGGGCTCCTCCCAGCCACGAACATTCTGGTGTTCACTGAGGTCGGAGTTGTGAGTGAAGGACACCCCTCGCTCCCTGTACTTAGAGACACTCTCTCGAGTCCCGTTGTCCTGTGGTTCCCCAAAAACGGGGGAATGGATCACAGAGGTCGCCGTGTCCCTGCATTCAATGTACTTCTTTTTCTCACGGGCCTTGTGATACTCGCGGACCTGGGAATCAGGGGGAGTGGGGTCACCCTTCTTCTTTAGCTCACTGGGCCCCTCTCCAGCAGGAAGCCTTGGAGGTCTGGCGTAGGACACGCTGTGTATGACAGTGTATTTGTTATACTTGGCCTCTTCAAAAGGGCTCCCTCTGGCCTGCACCAGCTGCCGCTCGGCAGGGTCTGAGATATGAACAGAGGGCTCCCCCCCGTCATTGCAGGTGGCAGGTCCGTCCCCAGTGTGACGTCTGGGAGTCTCGGCAGCGGCTCGGCTCTGGATGACAGACCTCCCACACACCTTCACATCACAGGCGCTCTCGCCGGCATGGGCTCTCGGGCACGCGATGGCCTCCACGCTCTGGACGGGAGACTGGGCTGTCACCGTCGGCGGACTGAGCTCTGCAGCACTGTGGCTTTTCTGGGGGTCAGTAAAGGCCAACCTGTGAATAACGGATCCCTCGCACCGGCTCCCTTCCCAGACGCTCTCTTTAGCGGGGCACCTCTGCCGCTGCTCCTCGGGGCTGGTGCTAATGGTCAGTGCCCTCTGCACCTCCTCACTGGCAGAGGGCCTCGTTATGGTGTGACTTTTCTGGGGCTCAGAACAGGGTGCACTATGAATGACAGAGCTCACGAATCCCCTGCCCTCACAGAGATTCTTTCGAGAGCGGATCCACAGGCGCTCGCTGAGGCCTGAGCTTGGGGTAGAAGCATTCCCACTATCCTTAAATTCATGGAACTGCTCCTGAGTGTGAGCTTTCTGCTGCCTGTGAAAGGACTGGCCGGGAAGAAAGGTGGTCTTACACACTCCACCCTGATTCTCAAATAGAGTTCCTGTCACACGAGTGTTCTGGTGCTCAACCAGGGGAGAGCCGTGCAGGCCAGTCTCCGCACACGCTCTCCCTTTACCGCACACTTTCTGAAACACACGAAGGGCTGAGCTGGGGTGGTCGTGGTCTGTGCTGTCACTCCCGTGGGTGTTCTGGTGGTCGACCAGGGCAGAGCTGTGCAGGAAGGTCTCCTTGCACACCCGACACTCGTAGAACTTCTCTTTACTGTACATTTTCTGGAGCTCATTAAAGGTCGGGCTGGGCAGGAAGGCCTCCTGGAACTCCTGATCCTGAGTGTCCGTGAGATGGTCTCTCACATGGCCTCTGCGGCGCTCGGCTAGAGGGGCACTCGCCCTGAGAGCCTCCCCCGACGCCTTGCACTCGGGGCGCCTGCCCTGGGCCCGGCCTCTCTGAACCTCACTAACGGCTACACTGTGGATGAAGGACTCGCCGTACTCGTACAGACTCTCCCGCGTGTGCATGATCTGGTGCTCCACGAACTCGGAAATCACGCTGAAGGGCCGTGCGCACTCATCACACACGTACGGCGCGGCCCCCAAGGCAGCCAGAGGCCACACGGCGGGGGACTGCAGGCTGAGGCCGCTCTTCCCCGCCACTCGCCTGCTCTTGCTGCGCTCCCAGGACTTCTTTCTCACACAGCCTCTCTGATTGTGAGCCAAGCCCTTCCCTGCGTCTGACTGATAGCGTCTCTTTCTTCTGAGGGCTTGCTTTCTGGACGTGAGGTCACAGCTGGGGTTGACGCCTCCCCCAAGCACGCGCCCCTCGCAGCCCCGCTCCTGAATTACCGATTCCCTCTGGCTGAGGGAGACGTCTGTCCAGCCAGTGGTCATCCTGGGGAACCTCGGAGGCTGGTCGCTGGTGTCCCTAGCCCTTTCCGACTCGGAGCTGCACGAGACATCCCTGATGAACTTCTCCATGATCAGTCCATGGGAGGCCACATCTCCACATATGCCCCGCCGACGGCTTGGCCTCTTAGCCTCAGGCATGGTTCTCAAACCTGAAAGGGAACCCCGGTGTAAACACTCCTGGCACCTCTGATTCTACAGGGAACGGGGGGCTGTAAAGGACACCCCACAGCCACTTCTACAGGGAATGAGGGGCTGTAAACGACATCCTTGCAGCTGCATCTACAAGAAATGGGGGCTATAAGGGAAGCCCCCACAGCCATTTCTACAGGAAACAGGGCTGTAAGGGAAGCCCCTGCAGCTGCTTCTATGAGAAATGGGAGGGTGTAAGGGTGCCCCCCTCTGAGAGGGTGCTGCTACCCCTCACTGGCTGCTGTGCCCATCTGCGTTGTCCTCACCTCGACTGGGGCTTGGGTGGGCACTTCTCTTGGACCTTGATGAGTGGCCCTGTGTCAGATGGGTGTGTCTGTCGTCCTCGGCAAGCCGGACCCCTGTGTGCAAGGAGACAAGGGCTCACGTTGGAGGCTGGGGACCAAGGGCCATCCCAGGATTCTGCCTTCCCTGCAGCACTGGGAGGAGGCAGCCCACAGCCAGTTCTCTGGGCAGCTGTGACCTGCTTTCTCCCTTCCTGTCTGTCTGTCCCCGAGCCCACGCTGAGTTCTCGTGGATCCTCCTGCCTGCAGAGGCCTTGGACGCAAAGACGTCCTTTGTCGTTGCCACCCCTCATTAACCACTCAGCAATCCCGACGTCTCCTTGTCATGGGCCCCTACCTGCCCTTTCTCCACCACTCTCCAAACCCAGGGTGCCTCGGTCCAAGCTGACACCCTCACCACAGACCCTCGCCACAGATCTCTCCCCCAAGCACCAGGCCTGTGCCCCCTGCTCCCTAAGAACGTAACCTAGGTGCCTTCTAGGAGAAGCCAGACCCGGTGTCCACGTCGGGACCCGTGACCCCATCCCAAAGTACACTCAAAACCCTCCACCGCCCCCACGCCGGCAGAGGCCCCTCCTCCTGGCCCTGGACAGTATTCCCCAGAAGCCGCAGGTCTCTCGGACACACAGCCCCGGCCTTCACAGCTCCGAGACCCCAAATGCGCAGACGCAGGCCCCTGCAGCCCCTGCAGGACCCCTGGCGGCGCAGCAGCGAAGCGCAGCTCCGTGGGAGGGGGACCTGCCTGTTTGCTCCCATGCCGACGGCGGCTCAGGAAGCCCGACGGGGCGGCTCTGCGCGCTGCCCTGGGGCTGCCTCGAGTCACAACGGCCTCCACGGCACCCATCAGAGCGACCGAGCATCCCGCAAGCTAGAGGAGCAGGGCCCAGAGCCGAGCGACAGACGGGCTCGGGTGAGGGGGCGCAGCAACTCACCCAGGGACAGCAGCTCCCTGTAGTTCTCCATGTTGTCCCGGATCGGGTTTGGAGGCTTCCCGTCCTCAGTGAGGCCCACCACGTCCTGACAGGACTCCACATCCTAAAGGGGAAGCAAAGCTGCCGGGGGACCCGTGCCCACCAGGTCCCAGGAGGCACACGGCGCTGGCCACCGGCAGTGCACTCACAGCACTCGGGCTCCGAGGGACCCCCGTGCGCCCAACGAGGGAGGGGCTGGGGGGACCCCCCGGGTGCGCCCTCTGAGGAGGCCCAGAAGGTGCATAAGCATCTCCCTCGTGCCATCTGTACTTGGTTGAGGGAAAAGATTCGTGGGACAGTGGGACGGTGTCATGAGGAAGCCGGTTGCGCAAAATAAGGCTAACAGCGCTTCAGCTGAGGGGCAGTGCGGGCCGGGCTGCAGCGTGTGGGAAGGTTTCCGCGGAGCCTGGGGGCCTGGAGTGCGAGGGAAGGTGTGCATATGCAGAGTCTGACGGGACTCGATATGAATGCCCCCGAGGAGGCAGAAATGGCAGAGAAGACGTGTGCTGGGAGCGTGGTTTCCACGCCCGCCCGACCCCTCTGTGCCCCAGGCCGCACCATCGCCCACCAAGGCCACAGCTCCCAACAGCCCAGGAGGGCCTGCGTTCTATGGACTTGGATTTTAAACCCCTGTAACTCTCTGACGGGAGTTCTGGTGGCACGGTGCCTAAGGCATCTGACTGCTAACCAAAAGGCTGGCGAACCCACTAGCCACCTCTCGGAAGGAAGGCTGGAAAACCCAAGGAGGGGTCGCTATGAGTTGGGTCCAACTCCACGGCAGCATTCGCACCCAGCACCTGAGCCAGCTTGAACATCACCGAGACACCGAGCGCACAGCTGCACCCATCAAGCCAACAAGGCCCACGGACCCCAGAGCTTGACTCTGCTGGCCAAATACTCCTGTGTAACAGCCACACGCATGAAGGGCTCATCTAACAGCTGAGCCGAACCACAAACTCCATGCGGTTCACACTCCAGCAGCTAGGAAAACTAGCAGGATGACATACCTGCAGCATCCTGGTGAGCAAAAGCAGGTGGAGAGGTGGTCCTGGTCTGATCGGTGCTGTACTGGCTAGGCTACCCTGCAACCCTGCACTTCTCGCAGCCTCCATGATGCTGACAGCTGCCTGAGCACCTGCTACGGAGGGCAGGGGGCCCTGCACTAGCTGCACGGCCTTGGCAGTTCTTCCTGAGCCCCAGGTCTGTCTGATGCGCCATGACCTGCCTGGGTGTGGGGGAGGCCTTTCTGCAACACAAGGCCACACTTAAATATCCATGCCAATTGAAGAAAATACAGCTGGTTTGGTGTTAAATCCTACTGCTGGAACATATTAGAGCCATGATCCCATAAAGCCACTGCCGTGGAGTCCATTCTGACCCACAGCGCTCCTAGAGGACTGAGTGGAACTGCCCACAGGGTCTCCCAGGCTGTCAATCTTCACAGAAGCAAAGCCCAAACCACACCCACTGCCATGGAGTCCATTCTGACCCACAGCGCCCCTAGAGGACAGAGTGGAACTGCCCA